TGCCGCGTTTTTGGGCCCCAACTTTAGGTGGGTTCCAGGGCCGGAATGCGGTTTCGGGGGCCCCGGGGGGGGTCGGGGGGGTTCCCAGTTTCCCGGGGGCCCGGGCCCCGGGGTCCGGTTTCGGGGAAAACTTGGGGGAATGGGGGGTAATTTTATTTTTCCTTGAAGCTTGTTTCCTTGAGGGTTGGAATTTTTTTGGTTTCGGGTTAATTAGGGGGGAAGGGGGGGAACCCAACCCCGCGGGGCCCCCTTTTTTTAAGCCCGGGTTTGCCCCCCTGGCGGGGCCGGGGTTTTTGGGGTTTTTTCCCGTTCAAGTTTCAAGCGGTTTTTCCCTTTTTGGGGTTGCATTTTTTTTTTGGGGGGGGGGTGGGTTTTTTTCCCTGGGTTTGGGTTTTTCCCCTTTTGTGGGGGGCCGGGTTGTTCCCCTTTCTGGGTGTGGTTCTTTTTTTGCCGGATTTTTTTTGTTGGCCCCTCCCCCTTTTTCCTACCTGGGCTTCTTTTATTTTTTGGACCCCCCCCCCCCCCCCCCCCAACCCTGATCAAGTCATGGCCCGTAAGTGGCTGATATCGCGACCGCGTCTTATTTGATTCATGGAAAGCGTGGCAAGGTGTTGTTGTGACATCGGCTATACTTGAGAAGTTGAGACCGATCCCAACAGTGTCTGGGGAGAACTCTCGAGGTAGCAGAAGGATCGGCGGAACAGCTGTAGCCAGCAGGAGCGCGCAACACTCGTTGGAACTGCATGGATGCGTAATGCTGAATCGCATAGTTATGAGGCTTGGTCAAAGAGCATGTTAGGTGAGGTGAAGGTGCAAACAGGGAGGTGCAGGTGAAGTTAACGCCAAGCACGACTCACCCAAATTTGATGTCATTTGACGGCCACAAATCGAAGCCACTCCGATCCATCAGTTTCAATCTTGCATGGTAACATCCACCTGCACTGCGATGCCACCACCACGAGAGGGCTGTTTGCTACATTCGACAGTGATATTTGCAAAGCCTGGCTATCAGCTGATTAGAGTGACCATGGAGCTTGCTTCGAGCGCTCCGCCACTGATGCACGACAACCGCGATGCAGGTCCACGACAGGCCCGGACACCAGCATTGCAAAGCTCGGAGCTGATGCTATCGTCACAGAACAGATCGAGAAGTTGCCTCTAAGCAATCTCACGGCATCTCGGAGACAATGTCAAGAAGCAGAGAGGACTGCTATGAGCCTTTGACGAAATCCCTTGGATCGCGCTGAGCGGTCAGCATTGAATATAGCAGCATGTGTGCGCCGGCAAGCATGTACCGACCTTTTCTCGACGCTTCTCTTTCAGCTGTCAAGCCTTTGCCGGCAGTTAGATTACCTGGTCAACTTACAGCCCGTAAGCGCCACCACGTACAACCCAGGACTGCCATCAATGCAAGCCTCTGCCGTGGCCCCAAGCACAGCGTCTGCCATCAGCACCTCAGCCTGCTATCCACACCCTTAACCCCCTTTGACCGCACTAACGATCGCTCATCCCGCATCCTGTGGAAAAGTGTCAGTGGACCGTGCCCCTTCAACAATGGCCACAAACAGCTTCATAGCACGAGAGTCGTGGTATGTTTCTCCAATGGCGGAACGACCCATGTTGATCTGGACAGCGCTTAGAATAGAGAGGGTTCGGTGCTTGTGCGGCTGTTCTGTCTTCCAGCGATTCCAAGACGGTAAGTATAGCACCAACGATGAGATCTCTCTACCTTCTCAGAATCAGTCGAGCCCGAGCCCTTCTCGCAAGATCTCATGTCACCAGCTGTACTAGAACAATGTCTGAAAGGCACCTCTCGCCTATCCCTCGACAAAAGAGCGTCTCTCGAGCTTCAACAGCCGACAGCTTTATGACGATGCGGACAACGACTCCTTACGACAGAGCCCGCACATCCTACTGATCAAGGAGACCACGCATGTCGAGCTGTTCTACGACTTGTTCTTCGTTGCGAATTTAGCCGTCTTCACACAAATACACTCAGTCACCGATGAACGGACCCTCGAACAATACATTTGCTTCGTATATGTGCTCTGGTTTTCCTGGTATCAAGTCACGCTTTACGACGTACGTTTCGCAGTGGATGGTGTCGCGAACAGAGTCTGGAAGGCTTCCATGTTTCGACTCACCTATATCTACTTCTTCATCGCGCTTGGACTAGCAGTGCTCATTTGCACGCTTCTTGCGTTCTCGAGTCAACGAGAGAAGCAGCTCTATCATAAACTACAGATCCATGCAGTGTCATGGTCGGATTGACGATCTGTCTATTAACTGTCCTCGGTGTCCTGAAGGACGAAGCGTTGTTCAACTTCGTCCTTAGACCGTGGCTCGCGCCCTCTGCAACATTATTACTGTTCTCTGGTGAGTGCCTGAATAGACAATGTTGTAAGATCGCGTATGCTGATCTTTGCAGTCGTGGTGCTCAACAACGTAAAGCCTATTCTTCCATCGAAGCGAGGCATTTCATGAAGATGGAGGAAGAGAGAAAGAAGTTCTGCCAAAGAGCAGCAAGATTTTGAGAATATCGCCTTCGACCTCGAACCTCAATATCTTGGTGGCTATCACAGCATTCGAGCTGAAGGTCGGGTCCATGTGACGTGAAGACTCTGCGAGCATTGAAGGTAGAGGTTCTTTGACTCCTTTCGATGTGGTCGTCGCTTCCAGAATTGAGGGACTGAACACCTCGATAGCTGCTTCTTGCCTTACAGCCCTGTTGCGCTTACCAGGTGATCGTGCGCAGTCGACCGACAGGAGCAAATCTGCACCTTATGTGGCAGCAACATCATAGCCGAAACATCCAACATCATAGCCATTACCAACTCCAGACATGGCTACCGAAGAAGAACTTCTCGAGAATGAGGGACAGATCACCAATGGTGACGGCCGCCACGATTCTGCCGCTCACCTCGACCCATCTACCACTGATCAAGAGCGCGACCCACCAAACATCGGCATTGTTCCAGCGCTCATGGAAGACTGGCCCGACGTCAACATCCCATTGCATTTTGATCAACGGGTCCGTCTTCTACGGAGAGATGATGACAGCAGAAGCAATGCTATGATGAGAGCCATACAACAGCAGTGGCAGGACTTTCTCCGCGTCAAGGATATGTCAGCTTTCATCGCGGCTTGCAAAGTGGCAGAATGGCGGCAGCCAGGAATACATCGTAGACCTCCGTTCATCGCGGTCTTCGTTCCAGAGCACGACCTACACAAACTACCTCGGGTACATGGCGAGATCGTGAGGATACTCAGATAGGGTCTGAGGGAGAACTTGGACATCTTCCATTATCTCAGCCCGATCAGACTTCGATACTTCCACCTGACGAACGAAGGAGGACCAACGTTGATTTGAGCTGTGACATTTAGCGGAGGATGAGGAGTACGATCCTGCGAAGCTTGCGGCGCGAAAGGGCGTTTCAAATGGACGATAGAGCTTCTTGCAGTGCCGCAATCATCATTACAATGTCTGTATTGAGCAGATGAGAATCCCGAGAAGGCCTTCGGAAGTTCATAAGTGGAAATCCCACCATCCCCTTTCAATCCACGCCCTCCACGTCTCCGCCCACGGGTCCCCACAACAGCTCCACTTCTCCTTGGCAAGCTCCGGCGTCCCGACTTGACTTCACCTCAGCTGCAGGTACCAACCCTGCTCCCTCTCCGCAACACACTGTACCCCACCGCATGTGACGCTCAAGCTGAGGGGATGCATGCAAGTAGAAAGTGAAGGATATTCCTACGCCAGCCGGACCACAGCAACCGTAAACAACAAAACTCTTTCCGCAGCATTCGACCTGCTTCTCATCTCCTCTTCCGTCTGCTGCCCAATTCCTTCTATCATACTGCTCACAGCTCCTCAACCTCAACCGCAACCCCAATCAAGCTCCTTCAACCTCTCCCACCAACCCCCAAAAATGTCCACCGAAACCTCCTCCACCACCTCCACCCTCCCCAACCCTCAAAGTCCCTCCCACCAAGCCGTGGACCCCTCCCAAGCCCAAGGCGCCCAAATCCCCCTCACAGACTTCAACATCCCCTCCTTCCCCCAAGAAGCCCGTTCCCTCCGCGCCCTCACCCTCACCTCCGACATAAAAGTCGACGAATACCAAGAAATCCTCGAACGCCCATGGACAATATCCCCCACAATCCCCGCGAGCATAGAAGGTCTGACGCTCGAGTTGTTTTCTATGGGATACCCGAAAGGATGGTTGAGTGCCCTCGCCGATCGCGTCCCGAACGTTAAGAGTTTGGTGGTGTACTCTCAGATATTCGGGGGCTTGAGTGAGGAGACGACGGCCGATGCGGTGGAGTTTTTTAAGAAGTTAGACGGGTTGAGGGCGGTGCATTTTTTGGATGTTTTTGCTAAGTAAGTATGCAACAATGCCCCCCGAAAAAAAATTCCTAATCTAAGCTCGTCTTCGACTCGCTTGCTATAAACTCACTCGCTCTCCACAGACCCCACTTCTTCGAACGCATATCCCCCTACCTAAAACACAACAACACCTCCTCAACACCCGGCGAAGCACGTCGAGGCCTAATGTTTCTAGAGATAAACTACACATTCCGGCACGAAGACGAAGAATTCATGGGAAAGATCCAAGCACCCGAATTACCATTGCTCATCGGGCCAGGTCTGATCTCTTTATCTTTGAATTTATCCGAACCGGAAAACGCAGAGGAAGACGAACAGGATCCGACGACGATTCAGGGAGTCGGTACGAAAGAAGGGATCATGGCGTTTAATAAGACGCTTACGAAGGAGTTGATTGAGGCGTTGACGAGTGAAGAGACGGCGCCGAAAGGGTTGAGGGCGTTGAATACCACGCTTTATACGTTGACGCCGGAGATGATTGGGGAGGTTTTGAAGGATAAGAAGAATTTGATGGTGTTGCAGATGACGGCTGAGATTGAACCAGGGGAGGCGACGAAGAAGAAGCTTTTGGGAGCGATTGAGCATTTGGAACATCTGGAGAGTTTGGAGATTGTGGCAAATCCGAGTTTGCAGTTTTACATGGGTGAGTATTTGCGTTACTTATGTTATATTGCTTTACTTTATAGTGTTCATTTGCGGCCGGAGTTTCGTTGTGATGCTCTTGAGTTGGAGCTCATTATGCTAACATGCTTGCAATAGATATACAGAATCCGCGACATCAAGTTCTGGAAAAGGTCAGTCAGAGCTGTCGAGACATGTGGAGTTGCGAATACTGACCAGCAATGCAGACATTCCCAGATGTTTGGGACATGAACAAACTCAGCGAAAAGCAAGAGAAGCTGGCGAGCTTCAAAGCGAATGTCCTCCGTACAACCACGCTGGGCACGATCGATTGGGAGCGCGTGGATGGTAAATGGAAGGGCGGCGTGAAGGAAGGCAAAGGCGTGATTGCGTCCGGGACTTCGAGACCAGGGTCGTAGTGTACAGGTACTGCTCAATCTGTAGAGGTGACTTTCTGCGATATGAAGAGCTCTAAGTCCTTCGGCACGTCACCGGTGAGCGTAAAGGTTCGAAGATTGCGAATTCGACACAACGGAGACAATGCTCGCACAACGTCCTCGTCTTCTACCTCGGCATCTGGCTCTGGGTGCACTTCGAAGGAGACATCAAGCTTCTTCAATTCCTTTGTTCCGGCAAGCAATGACACAAGTCGTCGGAGAGCCTTCTTCACAAACCTCAGTCCTTCGTGAAACTCTAATAGGTCGTCGCTCAAGAAGCTGAGCCCATCGTCTACCTCGAACATCCAGTCGTGGAGTCGGACCACCAGTCTGATATGGCGCACACGCGTTAGGAATTTTGGCCACAAATATTCGTATCTGGGAAGTCCGTCGGCGTATGCTTCTGCTCTATGATTGAGCACTCGCACAGCTCGAAAATAGATGGGTTGAGCCGCATGCGAGCTTTCGTCCGTAGCGATAAGGCACAAAGCAGGCGAATTGCTGTACAGGACGTCTGTGCCCTCTTTGTGTACGAGTTGGCAAGTCTGCAATATTTGCGTGTGAATTCTTGCAGGCCTGTTGTGGAAGTCAACGGCGTCGAGACTGAGCAGTGCCTCATAGACCAATGTGCGGATCTCCGGTGGGAGACCTAGAAAGCGGAAGACGTCAGGCGATCGATCAGCTGCTTCAAGAACTCGTATGTAAGGGTATTTCAAGGTCAAGCCTCCTGGGTATGGATCTCGTAGACCGCGCGCTCGTACGAAATCACGGAGCTCGTTGGCGCTGCAGTGGTCGTAGAAGAAGCGTGGGCTGTATTTGACAGGTGAGCAATGGTAAGGTCGATGGGCGTAGGCGCTTTCATGTTCGCAAGTGATGGCTCCGTGCACCAGTTCCTCATGAAACGTTCCGTCCGAGAGCATTCGTCGCGTGCAATAATCGCAGCCACAATAGAACTCGTGATTGCCATTTTGACAGAACTCGCAGTCGCTGTCGCATTGATAACAATCTCCAAGGTCTCGGTAGCAGTAGAAGCATTCGCATTCTTCTGTGCAGGTCTCGCACTTGTGGCAAAAGTCACAGTGGCAGCCACACTGCTGTTGTTCGCATCCATGGCAGTCTGGGCAGTGGCACTTGCAGTTAGGGTGTTCCTCGTGATCGTGGCATCCGGCGCAGTGGCATGGAATTGACGATTTTCGATGGTTGCGGCACTCGTGGCATGTGCAGCCCGCCTGGAAATCACTGGTCTCCGAGTCCTGGGCTGGAGCGAAGTTGATGCGTCTCTGGACGCCCCTTCCACTTCTTGTCGCCATAATGGAAGACGCCGAGGTCTTGAGGCGTGGAAAGCCCGCGTTGCTGCAAAGGGATTCAAATAGTTGTAAGGTGTGTTGTGTCGAAGAAGTTGTCGAGCTGAAGTACATGTAGTCGAGCAGGCAGCGAAACGCGCTAAACCGCGCGCTCCTGCCAAAGAAGCACAATGGAGGAAGGAGCGAAAGGCCGGTGTGCAAACGAAAACGCTCATGTTCGCAGCTGATCTATCTTGGTCTTCTCCGATGATTCGCATCCACCCATCTTGCGCCTGAACGCTCTATGCAGTGCACTTTTATCCCAGTCCCGTCCCTCTCGTCTATCTTATGCGCTTCCATTCTGCCTGGTCTTGCCTGCCTCGATCGTGCCTCGTACACCACCCTTGCCACCAACTTCTCGTGCCACAACAGTAAGTGTCAGATCAGCAGCAACATTAATCTGAATCTCGACCTTGCCGCCCTTCTTCACGCCCTTGATGCCGACCTCAGCCAATGGCTTGCCGACCTTCCATTCCTTACTGCGGATCTCCTCCGCCTCATCGTCTTCAGAGTCGTCATCGGAGTCATCCTCGTCCTTGGTGCCGTTGGTTGCTGGCTTCTCTTCCTGTGTGACCTTGATTTCACGTACACCTTCTGCAAGTCTAAGCAGAACGTCGCCTCCGCTTGGAACTGGTATTTGTGCTGTTCTCCGCGCTGGGACAGCGGTCTCCGATGGGACGATGACGGAGAATTGCTCTTCACCCTGCTTGCCAGTAATAAGACCAATGGCGTGCTGCAAGTGGGGAGTGACAGTGACCACCGCCTCGGTGTTCTCAACGATGTCCGACTGCTCGAATTCCGAGATGAGCGATGCCTGGATGGCGGCTCCTCGTGCGGTAAGTTCTGATGGGTTGACGGCAGATGGGGTAGTGCTTGGTGCGATGATGACAGCAGATTCTGGGAAGTGTGACTGCAAGCTAGAGGCGATCTTCGGGACGTGAGAAGTGCCGCCAGAGAGTAGAATCTCATCAACGTCCAGCACATCCAAGTCTGCCTTCTGCACAGCACTCTCGATGAGGCGAGTGAAGGCCATGAACACCTTGACACCAAGGATTTCGAATCGTGAGCGGTTGACGCTCAAGCTGAAATCGATGCCATCCACCAAGCTCTCGATGGAGAAAAGAGCAGTCTGACCAATGCTGAGCGCCTTCTTGACGGCCTCAGCCTCCAAAGTAAGCTTCGACAAGCTCTTCTCCGTCTCCCGTGGGTCTTTTGCGCCCTTGTTCTTCTTCAAGAATTCTTTTGCAGCGTACTCGATGAGCGTCTTGTCCAATGTTGCGCCACCAAGTCCATAGTCATGCGTGGTCGCAAGAGTGGTGTAGACACCATTTCTGCTCGCAACAACAGCAACATCGGATCGCCTACCTCCAAGGTCCGCCACAACCACGACCTTATCCTGTTGCGCAGGCTGTGCCTCGCCAGCGGCCTGGACCTTTGCATCGTGTGCGAGAAGTGCAGAGATTGGCTCAGAAATGTACTGGAGAACTTCGATGCCTGCTGCAGAAGCAGACTTGCTCAACGCAGTCTTTTGCGCATCTGAGAAATCAGTCGGGACGGTGACGACAGCAGCAGTTACGTCCTTTCCAAGATAATCGCTAGCACTCTGCTTCAGCCTCCTCAAATGCCGTGTGGTGACTTCGCTGACGCTCAAACTACTCTTGTCTCCCTCCTCCTTCTCTTGCACTTCGAACACTACCTCACCGTTCTTGTCGATGGGATGCGCGGAGGAGTGGCAAGGAGTCGGGTCGATTTCCTTGAAGCTCTTTCCAACGAAGTCTCGGAAGTATGCTATCGTATTTCGAGGATTCCGTACGATCTGCGACTTTGCTTGTGTGCCTTGGAACTCTTCGCCGGAGACATAGCTGAGGATGGTAGGAATCTGTCGGTCGCCCTCCTCGTTTGCGATCACTGCGGCCTCGCCTAGTGAGGTGGTGTAGGCAATGGACGAGTAGCTGTTGCCAAAGGAGATACCGATGGCCGTCCGCGATGACTGAGTCTCAGTGATGTCTGCCATTTTTGCTGAGAGATGTAAGGAGAAGAAGATCTAAAGAAACTATTAGAGCGAGATTCGTGCCTTCCAACAAAAATGTTCGACCAGGGTCTGCGGATCTTCCCGCAACTTTATTTCTTATCAATAACGACTTCCATGGCATTTACTGGGTTTCAACATGGACGTTTCCCTTTCACGACAGTCATGGCGAAGATCCTCCTACCGGGAGATCAAATCCCATCAGATCAACTACCAAAGTCCAAGAAAGGCACATTAACTCTTGGTCCACATCTCCGCCATATTCCTCCATCAACAATCCTCTCCACCACCTCCGGCACATTACATACCGACCACAAGAAATCTGCCATCTGGATCGAGCACGAGAATGGACGATACGTTCCAGCAGTAGGGGACTTAGTCATTGCACAAGTCCATCATGGAAGCACGGACTACTTTCACTGTGCCTTGACACCACATACTGCATACGCCGTGCTTGGGCAATTGGCGTTCGAAGGAGCGAGGTCAGCATTACCACATGTTCTCCAGGCTTGAAAGATGGCATACTGATACCTTGAATCCAGCAAGAAAACCCGCCCTCAACTTAAATCCGGCGACCTAGTCTATGCCCGCGTCTGTCGAAGCTCGAAATGGGAAGAAACTGAAATCGAATGCGTCAATTCTAACACCGGAAAGGCTGAGGGTATGGGACCTTTGAGCGGTGGGATGCTCTTTGATATCTCGCCTGGATTCGCAAGGAGGCTGATGTTGGGTGCGAAGAAGGGCGGAATCGGAATTCTGGACGAAGTGGGAGAGAAGGTGAAATTTGAGGTTGCTGTGGGAAGGAATGGAAAGGTTTGGGTTGATAGTGGGAGTGTAAGAGAGACGGTCGTGATTGGGAGATTACTGAAGATGTGCGATGAGGAGGGTTGGGATCGGGAGAGGCAGAAGAGGGAGGTTAAGGCTGCTTTGAAGGGTGTTGCCGGGTGAAGAGCTTTGGACGGATTGAGAATGAACTTTTGATTTGATGTGATACCCAGAATGCAGTGGAATAATGTACATGGCTAGACAAGAGCAAGAAGGGATGGTTGATCTTCGCGAGGTGCCGCTCCAGCTGGTGAGGAAAGTCGAGGTCACGCAGCGCAGAAAGCCTGGAATCTGCCACGATAATCCCTCCGACCCTCGAGCGAGACGATGCTTGTCCGAGGACTCAGAGCTCACATACTGATCGCTCCATGCCTCTTCCGCATCTTAACCATCGCCGGCTCACACCTCGCCTCAGCCACAAGCTCAATCAAATCCCGATCCCTCAAAGACTTAACCAAACCCTCAAGCGCATCAGCCTGAAGCCTCCAACCTTCACCCATGGCACCAATAATCAACCCATTCAATCTCATCGGAGTATGCCGCACCACACACTGACCAAACTCCTCCGACCCAGGCAAAACACAACAAGCAGCCCGATGAATCTCAACCGTAGGCCCAGAAAACGAGACCCTTTGCTCATTCCCTCGTTCCGGGAATTGCACCGAAACCACAAAACTCTCATCTTCTTCCTCTCCATCCTCAAACCCAGCTCTCCAAAGTTTCGCCCCACCACCCTTCGGATCCTCATACTCAAAGCACCAATTCCGAATCCTCCCAAACCACCTCTCATCCAGCACGGTAGCCCATTTCTGCACCGCAGCCAAACCACTCAACCAACAATCCTCCTTTCCCACACTCCCGGCCCTCGCGCTGTTAATGGAAACTCCGAACGCATTCTCCCCATAAACAACCTCCAGCACCTGCTCTCTCACCTCCCTAGAAACAAGCCCAAGATCAGGTTGCTCTCTCCCGCTTCTTTTTTCGGGCCAAATCAAAAACCTCGGATCGACGACCCAGTGACGAATAATACGTTTCTGAATTTCGGGAGTCAGCCCATTCCAATCGAAGGTTTTCCGTTCTTCTTTTTCGTTTTCCTTTCTCCGTCCCAGTCCTTCCAAACCTTTCCTTTCCGTTTCATCATTCCTCCTCGCCACAACTTTCTCTCTCCTTTCCGCATCTTTGAATCGTAGGGTTTTCACGCTCATCCATCGTTCCGTAAATTTCTCTTTCATATACCCAGCCTGTCGACTTTGTTGGTCTGGTTGTTCCGTCGTTTTTGGGATAGCTTGTTTCTTTTCCCCGAGGGGTTTCTGTTGGAGTAAGGATTTATTTTTCACTCCGCCTTTGGCCATTACGGGGTGGGTGGGGGTTTTTGAGATTGGGGCAGTGGAGTCCCAGTTTTGTTTGGGTAGTAGGTTGGATTTCTGGCGGACGCGAGGTTTTGGGGTAGGATCTGAGGCAAGTTCGGATGGCGGTGGGAGGGAGAGTTTCTTTGATGGTCGGGCTCGCGATCCAGGTTTGGCTGGGTTGGAGGATTTTGTGGTTGTGGTTCGTGGAATGGACGGGTTTGGGTGCTTCTTGGGGTTGGTCTGGATTAATGGTGTGGTGTCGCCCATGACTGCGGCGACGAGTTCGGACTTTGGAGGCATGATGGTAAATGGGGTTGAACTGTGATTGATTGTGGTTGTTTGGGCAGGTCACAATGGTGTGATGTGGATGGTTTCCTCAAGCTACAGATGTGCTGTGTGGTGGACGCAGGATATTGTCTGGTCTGGCTTGAGATGGCTGAGATGGGAAGCGACACCGTGATAAACCTGTAGCATGTGACTAAGTGAGCCTAATCATGAACGCGCCGATGCAGATGAACGTGTTCGGTGGCGTTGACGACAGGTACTGAAGCCGAGAAGCGCACATGTTCAGCGTTGAGTGAAGGCTTTCCCCGATCCCTTCCCAACAGCTTCAGCACTGCTCCCACGAATTTCCCACAGCTTGCTATCGCTACGAAAAAGTTGCGTCTTAGAAGAGCGGGGGATCTCCTCGGCCGCCCTGTGTCATGGGGTTGTAATGTGCGGTATGAGTACTGTCTGGAGCACATTTATTCTGTGAACATATTGCCATAGGAATGCGCTGTGTGCTGTGGCATGCTTATTGTAATCCTGCTTGATAGCACAGTTATTGTTTGAAGGTATAGAATCTTTTATCCTCGCCATATGGAAAGAATATACGCATTTGGAAATTCTGGATCTGGAACCTGTTGTGTTGCCATTCTCGGGCTCATGACCGTGGCAACCAACAAATGATGGAAATGATAAGTGGCTGCTGTTTCGCCCGAGATCAATATGAACGCTAGAAAGCTGGAATGCGTACAAACAAAAACAAAATTCCTCCTCCTTTCTTTCGAACTCTCGCCAATGAAGCCTGGTAATACGCCACACCCGCAGACCGATGGCATTTTTGTGCGGAGCGACTCAAGCCCATAGGCCGATCCATGTCCGTCCTGCCTTCTCTGCAACTGCGTTGCCTGACTCTTAACAACGAAGACATTTGTGCTCGAAATCCTTCTCTAGCAATGAATGCTCGAACTACCAAGCGTTCCTGTCCCAATTCGGATCCTGTACAAAGCTTCCTAGCACTCTCGATCCAGTCTGTAGAAGTGGATGCCCCACAACAATCTTGAGGAATCGCTCAAGGCCTTTTCGCCGGTCTTCGATCACTGAGTCGTCGAATCGATTCAAGTAGACCTTTCCGGGAAGGGGAGGAATCGACACTCTCGCGCTCTCTCGCTCTAGCAGATCACGAAAGACTTCGAAGTCAGAGTATCGCCGGCGCACTTCTGATCGTCGAAGCTTGAATGCGGGAATATTTGTGCTCAGTCGAATCAGGTATGTCGTGTATCGGGACGAAGGCGAGGATGTGGGTTGGTGTGTTTGTGGGTCTGTCACCTGGAGGCATTGTCTGGTCAACATCCAAACTCGGCAGCTCCGCAAAGAAACAGCCCTTTAGATCTTGCAGACAAATGAATTTTAAAGCCTGGGTCTGCTTGCAGAAGCGGAGTACATGATCCAGCTGCTTACCTCGATCTCCAAGAAGTTCTCTGGCACTCCATATATTTCCTCAAAGCTCTGTGTGTGCGAGTCTCGACCAGTACTCGCAAATCCGCTCGGCAGATATGACCTCCTTTCATTCCCACTGTTCTGCTGTGCACCATTCTCTTGCGACTGCGGCGCCGGATCAGCTGGTCGAGGTTCTATGCGCTGCATTGTGATTGTCTCTCAGATGGAGTGCGATTTGGCGGCAATTCACGAAGTAGCTCGAATGATTGTTACGGTAGTTCGTGCGAGCGATGTGCGTTTGGCGAGGGTGGCAGATGTTGCGATAGCTGAGAGAAACAAGTCGTTGGTTGTAGCTGAGAGCTCTAGAACGATCGTCGCAGGTGGAGTCGTGACCCTGTTTCTCTTGGCGGCAACTGCTCAGTGCTCGCGTGCCCCTGCCCGGGGTCTCGACTTCACTTGCTCTTGGGCACACATACGCAGCTGATTTCTGCCTCTCTTGAAGTATTCAAGTACTTCTCGATAACTCGCACGAGATGGCGTATTGTTGGGCTTGTTGAGTCCCTCGGAGTCTGGACTACTGCCACCGCAATAGCAGTACATGCAGGCCTTGAACAGACTGCTTGCAGCGTCGCTCTCTTGACAGTTGTCTTAAGAGAACATGACATCTTGAATCTATGCGAATTTCATGTTGTCTGTCGCTGATCCTAGTTGAGACGGGATAAGGACCCAGCTTCAGAAGATGTGCCCAGATCTACGGAAGTCGCTAGACAGTGTTTCCTCAAATCAATCCGCGCTCGAGTCCTTGAGCATTCCGAGAACAGACTGGAGCAAGCCAGGAAGGCCAAAGAACTCTTATTGAACGGAGAATACATCGAGCAGACTTCCCATCATTACCATCAGATAAATCCAGAGTGTTGGACCGACCCGGGATGGTGGCAGGATCCGAAGCTCTACATATATGACCGTGCAATGGAGTGTAAATTTGCTTTGGCGAATATCATGATTGAGATCATGAGTGGTATTCCTGCGAAGAGGCGGTGAGATTTTCGGATCGCGGTCCCTGACATCCTGAGATGACATGAAAGTGAATTTTGAAAGCGAGCGAGGGTATTTCAATTGACGGAATGGGGCGTCTGGCCCGAGGCGGAATCATTGAGAAGCTGTATCCAAGGCGAAAATCCAAGAACTTTCCCTCATCACGACACATGGAAGCTGGCGAGCCGGACCGTGTACCATTCGAATCAACCATCAGCGCGTTTCGTTTCAAGCTGGACCTCGACATAGGCTTATAGAAGTCCAGAAGCTTGATACCATGCACTCTCTCTAATTTTTCAACCGTACTGTAATCCATCCATTTCATCACAACTTGCCCTCAACCTCCCCCTCGCCCCATCCCAGCATCAATCAATCTCCATCCCCTCCATCTCCCCCTCTCCCCACCCCTGCCTCAATCACTCAATCTCCAGCCCCTCCCCCTCAACATCACTCTCCCCAATCTCCACCCTCCAAAACCTCTTCTTCTCCCTCTCCTCTTTCTTCTTCCTCTCCACCTTCTCCTCCCTCTCCTCCCTCAACCAACCCTCAATAACTCCTCCCCAGAAGTTAGGGGGAC